AAACTGGTCTCTGAACCAGCATTGGCCTGCACTAGAAGGGCACTGAAACAACTGTGGACTGAGCTGTAACTGCCTACCAAAACTGAAACCACAACATTTACAGATTCACTCTCTGGCAACCCCCATTTGCAGGTGTACTCTTAAACTACAGCACAAGAGTGTCAGCCGCTGCTACAGAGGTTTCAGCAAGGACTTTGACACTTAGCTAGGTCTTGACCCCCATAGCATTGCTCACAGAAAGTGAAAGTCATGCTCAGCCATTCAAGTGGACAGCTGGTGAAAGCTAACTTCTTAAACTGCTCTAGCTAAATCAGCAAGACCTCTCCATCAATGTTCTTATTATCTCTTACTTGGGGACAAGATTGACTGTACAACTGAGTAGTGATACACCGTAGCCTGAGCCTTACATGAAGAAGCAGAGGCACGCTTGACTGAACCAAGCAAAAGATGGTTCACTAAGAAAAGCTTATTTAAAAATAAGCAGCAATCAGGAAGGTCCTATAGGAAATGCACCTTAGTTCAGTTTCCAGGGAGACCATGAATATCTGTTCACATATCTAAAATGACCGGGTAGGTTCTAGTTTTAATTTCTAGTTTTTATTATTAAAAGAGGGAGAAGAAAAAAGGAGAGCAGCACAATTAGATGAACACAACACAACAACCGGCAGAGAATAATTTGATACCATTCTAATCAATTCAGTATCAAATGGCCATTCCCTTGGAGTACCTTTAGAGAAGCAAACAGGCAGCAAACGCAGGGATTTGACGACACAGCAATCTGTTGATTGTCGCTTGGATATTCCTAAGTTACAAAACTCTTCCACCTTTAGATTTTATTTCATTTGTTATAAGAAGCCATAAATAATTGAAAGTCATGTGATAAATTATTCAGCTAAGTGCACAGTTTCCAAGGAATCATAGCATGAGTCTGGATTAATGGTATAATGCAAGTCAGACACAGAAGTTGAGCTAACACCCCACAATTACCACACACAGGAGCAGGCCAGGGAGTTTGGTGCTTCTCAGCATGTGTTTTCCACCA